GCCACTCACTCTCAGCTCTGCCTTCGGATGAGTCCGTAGAGTCGAGTGGTCCGTATGCGGAGCTTGTTGGCTGCCTCATGTACCTGATGACCTGCACACGACCTGACCTTGCATACCCTCTGAGCATTCTTGCACGCTATGTTGCTCCTGGGAGACACAGACCGGAGCACATGGCTGCAGCGAAGAGGGTATTGCGCTACCTGTGCAGTACGTCAGGCATGGGGCTAGTGCTTGGAGGGCGGAGTCCAGTGGTCCTTACCGGCCACGCGGACGCTTCTTGGGCTGACGACCAGGCTACGCAGCGGTCGTCACAGGGTTACACCTTCAGTCTTGGTTCCGGCTCTGTCTCGTGGCGGTCTACTCGCTCGTCTTCGGTTCTCGGCTCCAGTTGTGAGGCTGAGATCTACGCCGGGGCCATGGCTGCACAGGAGCTTCGCTGGCTCACCTACCTGCTGACTGACCTTGGAGAGCCGCCTCGTTCTCCTCCAGTGCTGTACGTAGACAACAAGGCTATGCTGGCCTTGTGTCGAGAGCAGCGCTTGGAGCACAGAACGAAGCACATTGCTCTCCGCTACTTCCTTGCTCGTGAGCTGCAGCAGCGTGGTCAGTTGCGACTTGCGTACGTGGCCTCTGAGGCCAACACTGCTGATGTGTTCACCAAGGCACTTGCGCCTTGTGACCATCAGCGCTTCTGCACCCAGCTGGGTCTTGTGCCTGTCTTGCCTCACTTGCTCTCCTCTTGACTTCACTTGTACTGTGACATATATATATACCTGCTCTTGCTTGTCTAGCTTTATATATATGTCTGTACTCTTGCTTGTGAACTGGCCTTTGGCCTTGCTCTTGTGCTCGGACTGTGTGGTGACTTTGTGATCCACCCTGAGCTTTGCTTTGTCTTGCTTGACTGGTCTTGTGACCCCTTGTTCTCCCCCACTTTGCCTATGGGGGTGTGTCAGAACATATCTATAGCTTATACTGCTGTGTAGGCTGTAGTGGGGTATCCCATAGGGGGTACAACCCAGTTAGGGTTTCATATTTGTACTGCTTTCATTCATAGTTGATTCATTCCTGCTTACTCTTTTCACATGTAATGCATCGGCACCCCCGATCGAATGATGTCCTCCACCACGTGTGCCAATGAATGCACTTTGGTGATGTCAAACTCAGACTTCTGAAGGCCTGCAAAGACTTCCTTCAAGAGCGGAATCAACCTGTTGGTGGGTATGGCACACATGAAGAACATTGAAGAGACAAAACTCAATGGGCACGAAAAAAATAGTAACACGAGACGTCGCAACACATTGGCAAGCATGGAATGCAAGGTATGAGAGACATCGAACAAGAAAGAGAACAACACAAGCAACCATGCACAGTTGAGAAAGATGCTTACCTCTTGATGGCCTCATCAAGCTCTTGTAGCGTCTTCGAGGTATGATACCAACGCCGGGCTGCGAGCATGTAGCAATCCACGAATGCTGCCACCGCACCAACCACCGAGTTCGGCACGCCGCAATTTGCAAGCACGATCGTGATCACTTGCATCACTGCGCGATGCTCAAACGCCTGAAACCGTGCAGCACCCGCAAAGTAACCACCCTTCTCGGAAGATGGGATACGGAAACCCGAGATTCGGGTGTCGGTCGCAATGCGCTGCAACTCGGTGTCGAGGGAACGCAGAAAGTCGCGATCTCGTGCGTAATACGCTCGAATGCAGGAAACGATGTGCAAGAAGACACCAAGGTCTATCGCGTGCATCACCTCGACAAGTAAGGCTCGGTATGGATTGCCGACAGGGGTACGTCCGCCTCTTAAGCCCCACAAGGCTACCTGCGCGGGGGCGAGTAAGTGAAAAAATGTTAGCACACACTTAATTTAACCCATACAACCAAGACAGAGAAACGCATGCACGCAGATTCTTAGAATAACGACACACGAACTAAAGAGGCACGAACAGACGCGCGTACACACACAAATACGCACGCAAAACGTATGGACGCACTCGCAAACCATACGTACCTTGATGGGATGGGTGCTGATTGATTTTGATGCCTTGTTCCGCTCGGGCCCACTCGGCAACGCCAACAACGCCTCAACTTTATCGCCCTGATCGACTTCCGTGCGATATTCGACCACCGCCTCCATGTTGCTTATGTCTTCACGTTTCACGAGACACCTGTGGCACGGGAACATCGCCTTGTGACTTGCAAACGTCCCCGCCAGCTTGCACGCTTCCGGGTGATCAGCCACATATGCGTAGACAGCGGGAAATACCACTTGCGTCTGCCCAAAAGGGTCTTCTATTACAATGCCACTATGTAGGTAGAAAAGGGTGATGAACATAGGAAAGATACAATTATAAGGGGAGGGGAAGTGGATTTGCACATGAGGTGAGCAAGAAAAAACTCATCGTAGCGATAAAGCATACTTGCAACACACACACCCACACCCAGTAGAATGAAAAGCACTCACCCGCACACTCAATAGACACTCACTCGTAAGATGCCTCTTTGAGCTCTTTAAGAACCACATCCAAAGCCAGTTGGAATACCTCCCGATGAAGCGCCTTCCCCTCGTCCGTCCTCGAGTCCACGTTCGGAAGTGGCGGAAGCATAGCAACCATCCGATGCCCGTGTGGTTGCCAACGATTCTTGAGCGTGACGTTTCCAAGTGTGAAATATACCGGATGTCCCGTAACACGCCCATCGTTGCTCAAGTTTGTCCCGTCGCTGTACAGGATGCACGCTGCAATTACACCACCCCTCGGGCATTCTTCTTGCATCTTAATCCATCCATCTCCCGTCTCGGGCCCCGCGTATATCCGCTGCTTCTTGTCGGACGTGTAGACTGCTGCCGGTTTCACCACAAAGCCGTCTCTGTTCGCGTTGTCCGAATACATCGCCACCAATGCTTCGACTATGGAGGTTACGTGCACAGTAGCTTTCATGCCGTTGCTCAACTCCACCTCGACAGCTCTCCATTCCACCGTGCCCGTAGCCTCCGCAAGTAAAGACTTTTCGTACTTTGCCAAGCCAGCACTGTTCTTGTATGATGGCTTCATGTAACCGGCCTCGTGCAAAACGCTCAGTAGAGTATTAATGTCAGTTGCCGACATCCCCATGCCTCCATTAAAACCTCGAATCGCCTTCGCCAAAGCCAGGTCTGTGTCAAATGGGAGCATCTGTGGACTAAGATCTGCCGTTGCATCCGTTGTTGAGAATTCTATGTCATCACCGTCGCCGTCGCTGTCATCCGACGTCGGAAAGTCAAACGGGGGAGGGTTCACACTAGTTTGTGCAGATGGTGCTCCGCTAGTGGTCAAAGGCGGACTTGCTGCGGCACGCGGAGCAACTCGTGCACGCAGCAGCCGGTTCACGTCATTAGCTCGTTTGCGCTTCAAACCCTCTAGAATCCGTACATTTGCACTCTCTGACGCAGTTGGGCGGTTTCTACAAAACAGTTTGTGATTAATTAAGCCCTGTCCAGTAGCGCAGGTGAATCCACATGCACATGTAAACTCCATTATCAAAAATAGGGATACAATGATCTATAGCACCCTGTGGTGCAAGCTTGGAGAACAACTACAATAGTGAAAAATAACAAGCCATTTCTAACATATATGGTCTTCAACAACATCCCCTGGACCTGCATGCAAAGGCCACAGAACACAAACGGTCATGGCCCTCAGTGGCAAGAGGGGGCAAATCTGTGGCTCTAAAACAAACATGGCAAAAAAAAGCCACAAAACACTAAAAACGGTACTGACCCCACTAATCCCTCAAGCCGCGGCACTTTCGCGCAATATACCACGCGTCGGCACGCGGCGCATCCGATGGTACGGCGACGAAGTCGCTATTTCTGACGGGCCGACCCTAAAACTAATGAACCCGAAACCAAAACGGAATTACCCTCGCGGCCCGCGGATCTGCAACAGCGGGACGCAACTGTGAAAGTGTACGCCTTGTCGGCACGCCGCGCATGCACTGGTGTGTCGTCGAAATCGCGTTTCGGGACCTGGGCGTCCCTAAAATTAGTACATCTAAAAAATTGAGCTCGGCCCGCGCCCACGATCTACCCTAAGCTGGACGAGCACCCGTCTGGCATGCGGTACGAGGCAAAGAATGGATGGCGAGGCGTCGTTTCCTAAAAAAAAAAACCGCCAAACTCGGGTAAAACGGGCGGTTCCAGCGAGTTTAGCGGGTTCCTCGGAGGCGCCATGGCGGGCTACTTATTTACCACAACGATAATAATGTGCACTTCGAGTGAGGAGGGAAATGAAGGGGTTGGAGGGGAACGACCGCATGATGCAGGCACCGATAAAAATTGCGCAAAAACGTTCTCAACCGCGTTACACACCCTTCGGCCCTAACTGCCACGGCGACAAAGCAAAAAGTTACGTGCCGTTTTCGCACGTAACATGGTGTGCGACACCGTCATCATTCTGGTCCAGATGGATGTTTCGCGCGCTGAAAATGAGCCGTCCGAAGGGATCATTCACCTGGTTACCGCTACGGTCATTCGCCAACGGTAAAAGTTATGGTAACCGTAGGCGTACGCGTTTTCATTTCTTCATGCAAAATTACAAGCGATTCGCATAACATTGACGTGTTCATATTCAGTCTTCACCATTTTTTTACAATATTACTTCAGCGCGGAGTTCTACACACCACCGCACCGAATTTCACCGAGCGGTGTTCATCGACCCAACGGGATGAGTTTTGCACCAATTGCCCGCTAACTGCTCCGTGACTGCACGAATCGAAATTAGGGTAACTGCGGGAGATCGCAGGCAGCTCGGAAACAGAGGGCAATTAGAAAAAAACACCGCAAGCAAACTGCAGGGATGCGATATCGCCAAGCTTACCGCCGGCTGTTTCCCGGCGAACACCTGCAGAGTTGCGATGAGTGCACCGCGCGCGGGTAATAGATAGTACATCCTGCTCCACAGGGACTTGTTGAGGACTTTTCAGTATTTTCTTTCCAACAGCGCCCATCTTCCCCACATGCTGCGCCGTCCGCAGGTGATCTCACACGGGGAGGGCGGGGCGCTAGAGGTGCGCATACCCCAGCGAAGTACTACCAGGACGGCACCTGCGGGTGGATCCTCACCGCCTTTGTCGTAAGCCGCCTGCTCGTCCCTTGCGTACACGCCCACCCCCTCACTGCGCGTGTGAAGAGCCACTCCCTCCCTCCTTTTCTTTTCTGTAGGTCGCTCCCCTCCCAGCATCCCCTCCCAGCAAGCCCCTCCCGCGCATTCCCTTCCATGCAAGCGCCTCACATCGGGTCGTGTTGCTTCTCATCTGAGCTCCTCCCATCCCCTTCCCCACCTGCTCTCGCTTCCAAACTCTCTTCCCATTCCCCCCTCTGCCCTCCCCGCGCGACTCTCTTGCAAGCTAGCTTCAGTGTGACCATCGCCCCATTCATTTCCCACCAAACAGGTCCAAGTCCCAACCAGATTCTCCAGCTGAACATAACCGAGGCAATCATTTCAGTCACCGCCCCATATCCCCCTTCCCCACTCCCAATTCCCCCCTTCTCGCCCCCCTGCTCAACCCTCCCTCTCGCCCGACCCCTCCTTATCCCACTCCACCGTGTGTCCCCTCACGCGACCTGCCCTTGCAGGCTTTATTCACAGTGCCAGCCGCATTGCTCCTGCCCTTCACTATCTGCATCTTTTTCGTATTCATCGTGTCTGCTATGTAAGTCCGTTGCAGAATTCGAGTAGGTAGCTTGCATACGGAAATTCAGTGGGGGACCTCACATTGTGAATCCGAGCATCAGACAGCTTATGTGTTGATATGGTAGCTGAAGCATGTCACAATGGGTGAAGCATGTCACAATGGGTGAAGCATGTCACAATGGCTTCTCACATCGCACTTATCACCACATGTCGCACATGCAAGCCCCCCATCGACACCAAAGCATCCAACTCCAAATTACACTCCCAGCTTTTCACGTCTCATGCACACTCCCTCCTCTCTGCCTCCCACGTTCCACGTTCCCCACATGTGTCAGCTTGGCGCAGGGCTGGATGAGAGGCGCAACTCACACAGAGACCATTGTCCTGTCACCCGATTTCTTCACCATCACCATCACATCCCTTGGCGCGGACAAGCACAGGCAGGGCAGCACGCCATGGGTGCGAGCCATCATGGTGCGGGACTTGGACTCCCCACAGCCGCCGCCACTCCCAGTGCACAGCATCGCTGCACACGGTCCATTCCCTCCTGCCCCCGCCATGCAGAGTCCAGATGCTGCTGCCAGCCCAAGGGTGCGGGCAGGGTTTCAGCCAGAGCTGGTGTGTGCAATTGTTGACGCGCAACAGGAGTACCATTTTGGCAAGCTCCTGAAAAACGCAGAGAAGTACTGGGTGGTGGGCGAGCTGTCGCACGACTTGCATACAATGCGCATGCACCCAGTGCAACTTAATGTTTAGAGTGTGATGTATGGCAACACTGTATTGTTAGAGGGGTGTTTACTGTTCCCTTTGAACAGTACTTCCAACCCCATCCTTATCCTTATCTTTTTAGATTTCCTAGTGCCACGTGGCACTCTACCTTTCTTGCTCTACTTTCTAGTCCCACGAAGTACTTTCCGGCATTCGACCTTGCATGCTATATCATCCTTGCTTGTATCCACCAATATCAATAAATTCTCATTCAACTCTTCAATTACTGAGTTACTTCTTCGCCCATTTCGCCAACACTCTCTTTCGCCAAAGCCTTCCGCCGCGCTTATCCTCAATTTAGTCAACCCCGCTATCAGGGCCTCAGATTCGTTTTAGGGTACCCTGAGCACTCAGGGTCCCTTGGAGGTGTAACACTGATCTTCAGTGTTGCCTGCTTAGAAACACTGATTTTTCAGGGCTAGTAAGAAAAAAACACTGATCACACAGGGTGCCTTTTCAAAAAACACTGATAGAATAATTAAAGAAGGGGTGCAGGCCCGGTCGTGATGTGGAGAGCATGAATGAACGAGACCCCCTGCGGCATGGGTCGGCTGGTCGAACCGCACAACCACGCCCTTGCGTGGTGAATCTGATCTCATGCCACCATTGTCAAAATCATATTTATTATAACTGCATGAAGTTCTAGCTGTAGTGTAGTTATTAAATTTGTAGGTGGTGCACCCCTTCATGTGTTCCTTTGCTATATGTATCTCGAATCCTATAGTGAAACTTCATTCTCCAATTTTCCTCTCTCAACTCACTCGACTCTCACCCTAGTTGAAAACCCGCTCGATACCTAGTTAAGGGCCTAGGCTACTAAGCCTAGGCCCCTCACCTTTCAACTTAATCTACTTTAAGTTCGACATGTTATCGGAGCTGTTTTCGTCCTGGCCTGTGGGCCCGCGTTACTCTTCCGCTGCTGAGATTTTCCGGTCGCGCGCCTAGGGCGCGTGACGATTTTAGTTTTACTTTGTCCCGCCCACGGGCGTGTGACTCCTACCCTGCCCGTCGCGCGCCCCGTGGCACGCGACGGTGCCCTTTATCTGCCCATCGTGCGCCCCGTGGCACACGATGGTGCCCTGCTCGTCGTGTGCCCCGAGGCACACGATCGGGCCCTTTTATCCTATCCGTCGTGCGCCCCGTGGCACTGGCCCGCGACGGGCCTCTCCGCCCCTGCACTCCCTGCTGCCGCCCCCGACCCATCTGCACCGACGCCTCTTCGCCGCTCTGCGGATTTCTTCCTTCCCACCCCCCCCTTTCTCTTGTCTCCCTGCAGCCGTGGGGAGGAGGGTATGGGGGTGGAGGGTGTTGGAGCGGTGGGTCAACTCTCTCCCTTCCCCTCCTCCTTCTTTCAGTCCCACCACTGCAGCTGCTGCTGGGGGGGGAGGGTGTGAGGATGTGGGTGAGCAGGGGGAGTGGTACCGGGGTGGCGGGTGTGAGGCAACAAGCAGCCGTCTCTCCACCTCTCCTCTCTTCCCCCTTTCTCTGCTGCTTCTGCAGCAGTGTGGGGGAGGGGAAGGAGGAGGGTGAGGAGATGGAGGGGGTAACCTTTCAAAGTTAGCCCGCCTGCAGTACCTGCTGTTGCTTGTTTTATTGCTCGTTGGTGTACCTCTGCAGGTTGTGCTCGACACTTAGCTATTCCTGCATGCAGTTACGGGGGGATGTCAAAATCATATTTATTATAACTGCATGAAGTTCTAGCTGTAGTATAGTTATTAAATTTGTAGGTGGTGCACCCCTTCATGTGTTCCTTTGCTATATGTATCTCGAATCCTATAGTGAAACTTCATTCTCCAATTTTCCTCTCTCAACTCACTCGACTCTCACCCTGGGTGAAAACCCGCTCGATACCTAGTTAAGGGCCTAGGCTACTAAGCCTAGGCCCCTCACCTTTCAACTTAATCTACTTTAAGTTCGACAACCATTCACCACGGGTCCACTCTGGATTTGTGCGCAGCGAGGCCAAGAATAACAAGTGTTGGCAGAAGTCAGAGTCAACGAAGCATTGAAACACCTGGAACAGCCAATCAAATAGCGCCTTTGCGCAAACACTGGCCAAAATTGAGCCGCAGGGTGGCGTCGATCCTTGTTGGGTACATGAATGATGACGGCGCGCCAATATGCGAGAAACACGGAGTTTCGGTTCCAGGGTCAACCTGGATACAACATTGACTCGTCAGTGTATGCAAACACAAAACACTGAAAATTCAGTGTTCTACAAAAAAAACACTGATCCATCAGGGTCGCTAAAAAAAAAAAGGCTGATCCATCAGGGTCGCAATAAAAAACAAGGGTCAAACTTCAGGAATTCAGGGTAAAATTCCTGACATCTGAGGCCCTGCCCGCTATTCCTTATCGGATTTAGGCCAAGGGGCGTAAGACTTGGTATCAGGAGCCTTCGTGGGGAGCGACTTCCAACGAGCGACCGTCGACGACGAGACTACGACATCATCGTCCCGCGGTGCCGACTTGCAGACTTGGAGTCGTCGAGTCAACATGGACGAGACCATGAACGCTCTCCCCAACGACATGGGCAATGCGCTTGCTCAACTCATGCGCCAACTCGAAGCGTTGACGCTGGAAAATCGTCAGGTACGAGCTGAAATGCAACAGCTTCGTGAATTCGCGTCAATTTCTCATGGTCATGCCGCACCATCTCCTGCACGCAACACGTCGACTGGCGCGGAAGTGTTGCAATCAGAAGTTGATCGTAACCAGGATCACCTCGGGAAGGTTCGCACACTTCTAGTCTAGTGGTGGTGGGCCCTTGACCTCAATAGCAGAGTGAATATAAATGCTTGAGATGATAAAAACATGCGGTACAAGGAATATAAATAAGAGTACAGGGGAATTCGAAGCGACCTAGCTAGCCATGTACTCTAAGGGGTACATTCCCTTATTGCATCGAAATCCAACCGTGCGACTCCGGGTGGTTACGAAACCGTTAGGGCAGAATCCTCTCCACTACTGCTGCCTGATGCTGTCTACCCGACGGTCCAGATGCTTCTCGTAACCGTGTGACCCTTCGCGTCACTTGCGCCCTTTCGTCTTCAGTCTCGGTAGTGCATGCTGCGTTTGCTGCGGCGAGGAGTGCACAATAGTATTTCAGTAATCACTATTCAAAACAGGAAGCGCTGCCGGAACGTCGAAGCGTGAGCCGTTCGACCCAAGCCAACGCGACGCGAACGTGCGGACGTGGATCTTCATGCTCAACAATTACTTCGCCGCGAGCGGGGTGCAAGAGGCGGACGCGCAGCAGCGGATCGAGTACGCCGTTACGCTGCTGAGGGGCCTGGCCTTGGAGTGGTGGCGCCAACTTACGCAAACTGCTATAAGAAGGGCTCAAACAGACGGGCATCAACAGGGCGTGGGGCATGCAGCTGCAACTTCGAGCTTAGGTAGTTTAGCTTTGGGTGTTACCATGGTTCCGACCACATGAGAAGGATTTGAAGCGAAGCTGAAAAGTAGGTTCGATTTGGTGAACGCCTCCGAAGTTGCTAGGAAGCGTCTGCGTCATTTCCGACAGATAGGAAAGGTCCAGGAGTACACACGACGGTTCTTGAGCATCTGCAACGAAATAGATGACATCACAGAAGCAGAGATGCGCGATCGCTACCTCGAAGGGTTGGAGTCGGACATAGCGGAGATCATAGCGATTCACGGGTTGTCCACCTTCGAGTCGGTAGTCGCAGCAGCAGAACATGTCGACGCAGTACGAAGCCGACGGGGTCGTGACGATCGCGATAGGGGATACAATAGACCAATCAACGACGCTCGATTGAGGGACGGACCATCGCCCATGGAGATTGGTGCAGTGAACAGTGACGGCTCACAGAAAATGGGATTTAGGGGGAACTCTCACTACTGCAAAAAGCCGGGACACATGAAGCGGGACTGCCCACAGATTAAGGAGCGGCAGCAGTGAAACGGAAACCGCCAAAAGATAGCGGGTCGCTAGCTGGTGTGGAAGTTCCCGTACCCGCCACGTCTACCAACTTAGAGGAGATACTTCTGGAGCAGTCATCTACGCCGAACTCGGTAGACGCTGTTGACCGTCCAGTCGTGCTTCTAGGGAAGCTTTGTAGAGCTCCTGTTAAGATTCTTGTAGATAGCGGAGCTAGCCACTCGTTCGTCTCTTCTTCATTAGTCAGTCATCTCCATCTTGAAGCAGATTCGGCAGTCAACTTCAAGGACGCACGTATCGTAGATGGGACGCCGATTCACATAGGACCAGTCATTCACAAATTGCGCGTAGTGCTAGGACCAATCACGGTTAGGCGTGACTTTGACTCTGCCACACTGGACAGTTAAGACTTCATCTTCGGTAGGGATTGGCTACAGACGGTTAGTACTCAGTTCGATTGGGCTCAGGGAAGCTGCAGCGTCAAGGTAGACGGGGAGTTCCGGGAGCTGCCACAATGGAGTGATGGGGCCACATCCTCCACAGCCATCATCAGTGTTGTTCGTGTGCGGCAGCTGGTGAAGCGAGCGATGTGAAAATGAACGAGAATGAATGCACTATGAAAGAGTTGGGTACAAGTACTAACCCTAATTGGGTTGTACCCCATATAGGCTACCCCACTACAGCCTACACAAAAGCATAAGCTATAATGCTCTGACACACCCCCATAGGCAAAGTGGGGGAGTACAAGGGGTCACAAGACCAGTCAAGCAAAGCAAAGCAAAGCAAGCTCAGGGTGGATCACAAAGTCACCACACATTCCGAGCACAAGGTCAAGGCCACAAGGCCAGTTCACATGCAGGAGTACATATATATATAAAAGGCTAGACAAGCAAGAGCACGTGTATATATATATATGTAACAGTACAAGCAAGGTCAAGAGGTGAGCAAGTGAGGCAAGGTAGGCACAAGACCCAGCTGAGTACAGAAGCGCTGATGATCACAAGGCGCAAGCGCCTTGGTGAAGATATCAGCAGTGTTGGCCTCAGAGGCCACGTACGCAAGACGCAGCTGACCACGCTGCTGC